TCTGGAAAATCGTTGCAGCTGCCAATCTCAGTCCCGACGGAACCCAAAACTCACCCGGAAAAGGCGACTAAACCCAACCATCATCCACTAAGTAACTCACTAAAGACAGAGTAAACTAGTAGTCAACTTTTTTCGAATTGATTTATTTTATTTATTATTCTATTTTATTTTTCCAATTTTTTTCCTCATCCCGAAGTTTTTGCCCCGATCTTTCCCTTCCCCCTCCTTCTCCCGTCCCTTGTATTTTCCCCCGTTGCGGTCCCTTCAACTTGCATCTCGTAGTGTATTTTTTTTTCTTTTACACTTTCCCGGATCCCTTTCTAAACTTGGTTGCCTCAGGATGGGTCTGGGCCGATGCACAACTCCATATTGGATTGGATGGACCAAGGAGATTCAACAGCGAGACCCTGAGGTGGCTGTGGTAGCTATCATCCATCTTTAGACTCATTGGATTCTTGCGTAATACTACTTGCCATCGCTTTTCTTGACAAGTTCTTTTCCGATTGCGTCTGGGGGACCCGAGGGTCTTGTTTTATAACAGACGGGCATGCACTGCGGGATAACCTTTTCGGCTTGCTCCAATCCCTCCGCCGCGGTCCCTTTCTCGGCTTGCCTGGCGACTACTATTACTACTACTACGACTACTTACTTACTTACCTACAACTATTACCTTAAACCTTTCCAGTTTACTTGAACTTTACACTTCCGATTCCTATTATTCCCTACTAAACTGAACTGAAAACTGCCTTTTCCGTCCACGCCTTTTTTTACCTTCCCCCTTCTGGTCGGTGTCATTTCTGGGAGGCCCGACCACCTTTCGCTCGCTACCTTCTCTTCTCTTCTTTCCTCTCTTTTTTCCTGCTTTCATGACATGCCATATCTTTTCTAATTAACCCTCTCCCATGGACGAGGGTTCCGATTCTAAAGCCCCTCGACGGAAGAGGGTGTCGAGAGCCTGTGATCGCTGTCGAAGTAAAAAGGTCAGTTAGAATCAATCAATTAATTAATACCTTTTCTTTTGGCTTCTCTGCTTCTTCCCTCTCCCCACTCTTTTATAGATTTCCCCCTTCCTTTCTCCATCTTCATCTTTCTCCTGCTTTTAACCCGATCGGTGCAATTCAACCCCGAACTGCAGGTGGTTTTCCATTCTGTACTCGGTAATGTTCGGGGCGGCGTTCTTGCGTCACGTCACGTACTTGCCCGTTTTCGGTGCTTGTTATCGCCTCGGAGCTGCAGCTCAGCTGCCCACTGCCGTCTCAATTGGCGATCTACTCCTACTCCTTCTTTCCTACTTCATTAACTCCATCCTGGATCTGCTTGCCCCTTCAGTCTCTATCTACTCCTCCACCATGTCTCTAATTTCCACCCGCCATGCTGACAACGACCTCCCACTTCTAGGACAAGTGCGATGGACTACGTCCCGCTTGTTCGGCCTGCCAGGCTTCAGGCCAGACCTGCTCATATGATCCTCATGCAAAGAAGCGCGGGTTACCAGAGGGCTATGTTCGTGGCCTGGAGAAGCTTTGGGCCTTGTCCATCTGCAACATCGATGGCTTTGAAGACACAATGCTAACTCTACTGGGGACCACCGCCGAATCAGCTGGTCGGAGACAGAAGCTCATGTCCTTATGGACGGATGATGGCGCGTCAGAGACACTGCATGAATCTTGGAAAACCAGTCGCCTATATGGTGCGCTCGAGAAGATGCTGTCTAACTCTGAGCCAGTCACTGAGAGCTCAGGAAAGCGCTCCCGGGAAGACCATGATGACGGCACCGGAAGTGAATGGGGATTCCGCATCGACCGTAGTTCGACTCCTCTCGCTCATGATGCTCCGCGTGTTGTTGAGCCTTCCACCTCTCCCCGTGCTAAAAGGCCCCGGCTGGCCGCTCCCACAGACAGCAGGATCACGTCGTATACCGCCAGCGCTACGAATGCCCTACAATTACCCCCGCAGACCTCGCAGCTGTTGGACGTCTATTTCGCAGTCACTCACTCATGGTTCCCAATCGTCGCAAAACACAACATCTTACGAGCATCGTACCTGTATGCAAGCGCGCCGCTATCTGTCGCAAAAATGGCCCCAGGTTCGGGCGACCACGCCGCATTGTGGGCCTTGCTCAGTTATACCATTTCGCAATCTCGGGTTAACCCGCAGGACGGGGCGTTGGAAGCGCTTTCGAAGACCAAGGAGTATTACTCGGTAGCTCGAAGCTTGATTCCTTCTGAAACGGAGCGGTTCGAGCTTGGACATGTGCAGGCACTGTTGCTGCTGACGTTGGTGAACATCGGCCTGGAGGACTGGACTGCTGCCTGGCTGCTGAGTGGCCAGGCTGTTCGCATGGCCATTTCGATGGACCTTGGAGCCTTCATGGACGTTCGACGATCGGACGAGTTGAGGCAAGGAAAAGCGGTTTTCCTTGGGTGTTTCGTGATTGACTCGCTGCTTTCGTTCCGTTTGTCGAGGAGACCGTGCATGCATCCTCGTGATCTCACCATGGTCGGGCTGTTGGAAGAAGATGGCTTGGAAGAGTGGAACTCGTGGTCGGATGTCTTGCCACCTACGGGGGCTGGACAAGGGAAGAGCCCTCCTCGACGGGGTCCGCTGCTCGCTCTAAGCTGCTTCAATCGACTAGTCGAGTTGGCCGGTGTATTGAATAAGATTGCTCGCGACTCCACGGCTGGACCAAACGCACCCTTATTTGCACAACAACTGGTCATGGAGCTTAAGCAATGGGATGATCGTCTTCCGCTTGGATGTCGCTTGATTGGTCCGGAAAGTATCTATCCGGAACGACACTCAGCCTTGCTCCCGCACCAGAGCTACCTTGGCTTAACATATGTGGCTACCCTTCTGTGGCTTTATCTGCGCATTGCGCCTCAGGAGCTTGGGCTGCACCGCTCTCAACGGCCGGCTATCGAAGGAGCCAAGAAACTCCTTTATAGGGCTCTCCCAATGGTGTCCCAGCACCTCGATAACTTTCAGGTTTGCGGTTTGCCGCCGATATTCGAGCTTTCTTTGCGCACTATCGCCGAACAAGCGTTCACTCTGCGCAATAAAATCGAATCCGACATGTTCCCTTTCGGACGATGGACTGAAGCGCTCCTTCAGCGAACCACGGAGCTTAGTTCAACTTGGCCAGTGTATCGCTCATTGTCTGCTTCTATCGATCACTGGTACCGTTCTAAGGATCTCCCCGGAAACCCTGCTCTATCCTATCAACCACCAGAGGCAGGATCAGCACCCGGAATGGCTAGCGGTATGACCAGTACTGCACTACCCCCTGGGTCTATGGCAACATCGGCGGCAGGGTATCCGAACATAATGGGCGAGCCTACGATGAACCCTCACATGAGAAGGACTGCACCTGGAATGGGGGATTCCGATTATACATCTGCCATCATGGGCATCACTATCCCTGTGGACGGACAGTACATGACACCAAAAGATCCCACGGTGGAAAATCCTGATTTATCCATGATGGACGTGTCCTTCCAACAAACCTTGGACGGGCGAACGGCACACATGGACAAGTCCGAGCCTGCTGCTGCTCTGAATGCAGCATTACCGCGGGGCACGCGCCCCCATCCGTCTACACCCGACTCTGGCGTGTCGAGTTCGATGATGTCGGTCACCGGCCCGGGCGTTATACACGAACGTTCTGTACCTTCTGGGGATAGGAGCTCGGATACGACAGAGCGTATCGGGTCAACCGGCGACATCGACGCCATCTTCAAGGATCTTGCATATCTCGACACCACAGAGTGGGCTAACAATCGCGAGGCTGCGTTGAAGGATTTCGGCTTTATTGACGAGAGTACATTCCAGGCTTTCTGCCATGACCCAGACCGACTTGCTGGGACTCAGCCGTTGGTACATCCCCCGTCGATTGCCGATATTTGGCCGCCACCGGGCTTTTTCCCGGAGACGTTTCGTGACACTGCGGAAGATGCGATGGAGGGTTGAGTTGCCGTTTTCTCTTCTTCTTTACATCTTGCTTTTGACCGAGCAGAGGTCAAGGGACTTTGACAGGGACTTATCCCTATTTCTGATATATATGGAAAACTTTGACGAATCTGTGTTTTCCGCTATATATGATGGTGATGCTATCAACGCTCGCATCACCCTTTTTTTTGCCATCTCTCTTGTTCCTTGTTGATGATACCCAATGTAAGTAACACATTACGAATAAGATCGATGTCGACTAGCGAATTTCAATCATGGTGCTGATAGTCCTCGTTACAGTCCAGAAAACCTCGAATGCAACAGGGAGTTAGGATATTAGGTATCTAGGAGTTGGTTGTTGCTATTGGTCCATGCATATATGTCGTCGCAAATCCTGATATTGGGGATCTGTGGCTCGTGAGCCCACATTTACAATGAAATGGTCTCTTTCAATCATCGTTCAACATTCTCCACCACCCCTGACTATGCTCGACCTCCAAGGTGAGCCAGCCAGCCCAGTCCACTTCTAGCCGCCCTGACGTAACATTGAGCACGGCGTGATCTGGCTTCAGACCCGCTCTGTCTAACTAAAAAGCACGGTCTTCCTTGAAACAGTGCCTAGACTAGTAGATATCAAGTAGCTACTCCGTAGGAGCAAAGTAGCTTGTTAGTTTTGTACTAATCCCCACCAGCGATTAGGCACCGATGCTTATTCCTTCCCATCTGCCCTCCTCCCCTTATAGCACCTCCTGCTATTAATCAATCCACCGCGACCCAGCCAACCACTTTTCCCTGTTTACAAAGTACATGCATTAGTAGTTGACTAGTTACCTCGTTCCAAGATTCAGTCCTGACTCTCATTCCATCCTAATATCGTCTCGGCCCCCCACCTTCCAAGCAAATTACACAGTAAACCTATCTGCCTTCTTTCGCCGCTCTTCCGATTGGTACTTGGTCATTGGTGTTCTTCATTTTTTTTAAATGAGATTACTTGCAAAAATACCTTGCTTTCTATAGGTTCAGGCTTCAATTTTCTTCCTAGAGACGGGAAAGAGGTACCTGGTTCTCACAAATACGAAACCACTTGTGGTTAGTAGTTGAACAGATGTGATCACTTTTGTTCTCTGTTCATATGCATATTATGTATCTTTATTGCTGGAATGTGGTAGAGAGTCCTTCCTGTCTATGGTTGATGTCTTCGATGGGTTGCAGGTGGTTAGTGAGTAGGTACCAATTCTTTATTTGGTAGATGGAATCTAATGAAATTGATACCCATGTACTGCCTGTGCATGAGCTGGTAGGTAGCTATGGTTTTAAGGTTGTGGTAGCATACTTGGTGTTTGTTTATGGAACTACTAAATGGAGTTGGGCGGGAAATGTGATAATCCAATATGTATTGAGAGATATTCTGGGATGTAACATGTCGTACACTACTTTAATGGAATTTCATCTGCTGTATGTTGGATCATCATATGTCTCATTGGGTCATAAGGAGTCAACGCTACCTCGCGTGGTGATATCTGGGGGTAAAAGAAAAATAAAATGCAGGAAATTAAAGCCGTCATGGACAGCCAGCCCATCGAGAAACGCCCCCAGGCAGAACCCAAAACCAAACATGAACTACGCCAAAACATGATCCGGAGATTCCGGCTTCCTCCAGGCACATACAACCCCACGGAAGATGGGAAAAAGAAAATAGAAAATCCCTCCTTTAACCCCTTTTATCGTCGACCAGCAGCCAGCAACATCAATTGGTGAAAGCTCAGAACGCCGCAACCCGTCTTCCTGGTCGTTTATTGTATGAGAAAGATGCATGAGAAATTGATGGCTAGGAAATTAAGTGTATTAAGTCGTAAAGCCCGCTCTGCGACCTTGTGGATGCTCCACGGAGAGGGAATCACCGCCTCCAGCCGACGTTCCATATCACATGTGCAATGTCCTTGGCTGTGTTTACGGTGTCTGCCACACGGTCAAAAATGCTTGCACTCAATGGTTCGTCGTCTTCGTTGGGTGTCATTCCTCCCGGAGACATCGAATGGAAGTAGTAATCGAGCTCCTCATCATCTTCTGGATTCACAAACCAGGGACGGCTTAGACTTCCTAGGCCATATGAGTTGCGGCTTGGCTCCCAGTCGAATTCCACATCATTCTCTTCTTCGTCGAGAAGGAAATTAGCAGACGGCGTGATATTCCTGCCAGATCGTGCGTTTTTCCGCGTCGAATTCTCGGCTCCGGACGAAGTAGGCGACGTAGAATTCGAGAAGTAGCTGGACCACCGACCCATTATTGAGGATGCTGGTGATTCTGATGTGGTTTGTCCGTTCCCACGGGCATCCCCTCGGCAATCTGGCAGGTCATCCGCATGGTCCGACGCATCCCATCGGTACTTGAGTGTAGTAGAAGGAAGCGGGGCAATGGTTTTGTTTTCACCACTAACGCTACCACGAGGCGTACCTTTGTCGCTGAGCGACGAGTCAGAATGAATGTGTTTCATCATGACGATACCATCCTCTGATGACTCATCCCCGAAATGGGCAGGCCATCCATCGTCTTCCTCTTTCGCCTCAACAGCAATACATTGTACCACCTCGTTGTTGAAGTGGATATGCCGTCGTTCGCTAGGGGTGGCCGATGTTGACGTATTGGTGGCGGTACCCTTAGCAGTAACCCCCACGGGAGTGGTGGACGACTTGCTGAGCATATGTCCAAACTCCGAGGAGGCCCTCTGTAATGGGGGACGGTTACGGTTTATCTCGGCCTCCTGTGCTTTTAGGATGGCTCCCGCATGTTGCAAGAGCGTATGCTGGGAGAGAGAACGCTGCAAGATAGTCTCAGAAGCTGTTCTCTTCTTCAATATCGGTTTCCTATCCGGGTACAAGGTCGGTGTCTCCAAGCGGCTGGGAGGAGGAGAGCCATTGAATGCTTTCTCCCGCTTATTGCACGTCTTCAAGGGTCCGTACAACCACGTCACATCGCAGTCCTTCAGCCTATTGGGGGTGTTAGCAAAGAGCCAAAGCCTAAGGGACTCTGTCCAAAAACTGACCAGTTGAGGGCTTCTGGCGATACCGTACCCAGATTGAGTTTCAGCTTGGCCCACGTCCTCCACGAGGCATTCTCTAGCCTTTTCCCGTTTTCGTATATGTTCCTCCGGGCGACGACGTAACGCCACGACGCCCAAATATCCTCCTGTCTCCATTCATGAGATAGGTAATCCACGTGCCTCGATGGCTCATCCTCGATTGTACTATCATCAGCAGCCGGTGCCTGCGTCAGGCGTGGGTAGTCCGCCGAGGAGTCCACAGACACATCACTGAGGGCTTCAGGCTCCTTCTGTCCAAATTGGCTGGAATCGTACGACGGCAGGACCAACTCGTCATCATCATGGCCCTCACTCATAAGAGATAGACTGCTCAGAGTCGCAGGCGTGGGAGGGAGATTCCCCACGGCTGTAATAGTGAAATCCGGGGATGGAGACGCTGACCGCGACGGGGAGGACACCAGAGCATCAGAACGATCCTTGCAATGATATGCGGGCAGATTGAATTTGGCTGTGGCAACATTGGGCTCTTCGAGGAAGTAGGTTTGGGTGATTGGACTTCGCAAAGGGTCCGGAGAAAAGCGTGATCGCCCCTCGTTCGAGGCGGGAAGTATGGCCGTCATCCTAGCAGTTCAATCAGGTACATAAGGGCAGTCTGCGAATGGGATGGCCGTTGCAAGGGCTGGAGTTGAAGAAGAAAAGGTGGGACAATTGATTGAGATAGAGATGTTTCGTCTTCAATGGAAAGGCGCAAGAGGCGTCGAGGAAAGGCCCGCTATCTAGGAATGGCGACAAAGTGCTGAGATCATGGTACAATATGGGGTGGGCCAGAATAGGAATTGATCTTGATTGGCAGCATATATGAAGGGGCAGCTAAGGCACCTCGGAGATGTTATAGGGCGAGAGAGCTAGTAAGATGTATCTTGAGGAGCCATCAAGGTGTCAGGGAGTGAGTGATATGCGAGAGTTATTAACGGCTCCAAACAAGCCCCTCGGAGGGGGGTGGAGAAGGCCTTTTTGCTCGGTCGCACGAAAGGATCGGAAACTTGGATGGGGTCGAAGCTAGATTAAGATGAAAGGTCGGGAATAAACCAGCGTGTGTATGAGAGTCGCAGGGTGAAAGGCAAGAGTCGTAAAGTAACGTTGACGGGAAGCGGCGGGAAACCGGAAATACCTGTCTCTCTCTCTCTCTTCTTTTGCGAGTGCGAGTTTAGTGATAGTGGCGAGTGGAGATGCGATAATGCACGGGGGGTTCGACCGTTAATTTTTCTTCTTTTCGGTATTATTATTTTTATTTCTTGACTTCGTTTTGATAAAAAGGAAAAACTCTTAATTCTTCCCAGGTACTAGACCAGGTTCAGGACGTTGGATGATCTAAAGAGTCTAGATACCCGATGGTAGGGGGGCGAAGGGGGGAGGAAGCGTTGATGTCGCGCGGATCAAGTGAGGTTTGGTAGATAAACCAACGAGAAGGATCAGAGACGCAGGGTACCGCGTCGATGGCTTGGCGGAAGGAGGATTTGTTGGAGAATGAATTACGATTGACGTACGCGTGGGTTAAGAAAGAAGTACGAGGATATTCCCACCCCCCTTCCCCCTCTCCTTCGTATCAAGCAGTGCACAGTACCTAGGAACGGGTACCTCCCAAGGAGGGCATCAAACAAGGTTGAACCAGCACAGAAGAATCTGTTCGGTGCTTTTTTCGATCTTGTTTGCCACCAAAGAACCAAAATGCTCCCAAAGTGAATCATGACGACGGTACCTCGAATGGAAAACCGGCCGGGTGGGGATGAAGCAGTTGCGCTAAGACATGTCGGTCTAGTCTCCAGCAACTTTTACTCTTTCCCGTCTAGTGCATGTATTCTGGCCCATTGCTGATTGGTCGGCACTGGAATGGTGTAACTCTCGTGGTGCATGAGTGTGGGTCACATTAAGCATTTCGCAGCCCGCCATTGGCTCTCATTGAGGTGGGGGTTAGACCAGTCTTGACACCCGAACATCGACGATCCAGAGCCAGCCTCATGAAGCAATGTCACTTCTTTCGGACTTACTGAAGGTTTTACCTGTCGTCCATAGTACACTCTCCCTCGTTTTACTACTATATATCCATACTGAGCTACCTAGCTAGCTAAATTACTACCTTGCTATCAGGAACCGAGCTATGTATCTAGACAAAGCCTCCGATCTATACCTTAGCCGCATACCAATCATCGACGGACTTTACGTACTGCGACCGGAGTCTAGAAGGACTCCGAAACCCCCCAAGACGCGCTAATTATGCACTGTAGTGAGGTCTCTTCCTAACATCCGGTTTGGAGCTGTGCGGGAGGGACGTGCGATAAATTACTTACTAACTACTACCTCCCCATGCCCCAGGATGACAGATCAATGGCCTTACCCAGTCACTAAACTAGAGTAAACGGGGCATGGGCAGCTAGCGTGAACATCATCATAATCTCATTCCCAGGCCAGAAACACGGAGCAGAGTAGTCAGGGATCAGATTGTTTCCCTCCCTTAGCGAAACCCCTCCCCGATGCGTCCAGTATCAGACCCACCGGCTTTTCATTCCCGCAGTATCCCTTGGGAGAGAATGATGTGATATTGATAAGGAGAAGCAGAACAAAGAACCCGAGAGTTTGTCAGTCACTCTCCTCCTGCCTGTTTGGATTTCTGGGGAAACCTCCGCACGGTCTGTCGAAGTCCAGATCCCAGATCCTCGGCAAGCCAATGCGCGACCGTTGCTTCGTTCATTCCGGGGCACCCGCAAAATAGGAGAGGATCCATTTCTCCCTTCTCCTCTCCCGATGAATGACCGATCCACCCAGAACTGTATCTACTTTTTTTTCTACTAATCATAATCTTCACATTAGAAGTCGACCTTAAGCTATGTCTCCTCTTCACTGATTACAATTCTTACAAATGTATACTGCTTGAGTCTGCAAAGTGAGGACTGCCCTGTGGCCGCCAATCAAATTCCCAGCCGACAAGTACGTAGTCCTCGGGATAACACGGGATGCTGGAAGCTTCCGGGTAGTCGTACCTTCTTCCATTGTCTTAACGGGATGCACGGATGTTTTGGTGCGGTTGCTTTGCATACGCTTTGAACGAGCACTGCGCACCTACCACGCTGACAGCAATGTTTGTTCTCCAAATTATGGTTCAGTTTCCAGTTTCAAGTTAGTGCCCTGTACTACCACTGTCCGATCATTGCCACTATATCTCTAGAGGACAAAGTGGATGATGCTCTTGCTAACCATCTTGACACGTTAAGCCCAATCCGTCAGGTCACACCTCTGTCATATGTATGTTTGCTCTCGAAGTATAGTAGGACACAGACTGGACTAGACTAGACTAGGTAGATAGCTAGGTAGGCTGCTAGTCAGAGAGAGGGCTGGACAAAACACTAAGCACGCAGGTCTCTCCTGTCTGCGGCGGAGCACGTGGATCCGAGCGTCTGGCATAAACGCTCACCGGAGCTATTGCTATTATACGGGTTTTGTCTCGATCTATGTCCTCGTTCCCTTCGTCTTGCCATCCTCGATAAGATTTTGGAAGGAATGGGAAGTTTTCTAAGCCTAGTGATTCATGATGTCATGCTGGTTTTCCGTTCAATTGGCTTGCTTATCAAAGCCACCAGAAGCTTCGGATCTAGTTAAATATCGCTGAATGCTGACTGACAAAACGCCAGAGCTAACTAACTAATTAGATGGCCAAAGTACTTCCTTTGTCGCGTCAACCTCTCAGGAGTCAGGACAACATCCACTTGGGTCCGTTGATCCGCCCTTAGTGCCCGTTTCCGGACACTCAAATGTGCACTAGGAATATCTACAAGACTAGCTACGGTCTCGTTTCCAGACACTCGTCCGCAGCCTCCTTCTGACTAGCGTCCCAGCCATGTCCGTCCCTACCTGCGCATCTCCCCTGTGGCGTGGTCGAACGTGCAAGCGAATAGCCCCTCATCTCTCAAAATCAAGTGGGGGTGAAACAATCTTGTAAATTAAGATTGGCGTCAAAAAGAAACCCGTAAGGCGGCTCGATGCATGTCAGACAACTGATGGCTAGGATAGCAGATCGTGGTACGTACGTCGTGAGCGCAAGGACCTTCCCACGAGGGGTATTTGGGCGTTTCTCTTTGGTCAACCGCCGCATGCGGTACTCAGCGATCAAGCAACAATCAGCCACGCTTGCATATGGAACATGTTGGACTCCCTAGGTACTACTACTGCATAGACCGTCCCCCGTTGTCCGCATGCCATCATCTACGTACGGTACGATTGGCTAGACATCCTTGTCCTACTCATCATGGACCTCTGTGTACCATCTTCCCCTTATCAACACTTACGTCGCTTGAGAACCTAAAGAGCTGACAGGCCCAATCTAGATGATCGAGATTGGCTTGGACCCAGGGAACCGAACTGGAGGGATTAAATCGCCTATCAGGGCCTATCAGGGCCTATCAGGGCCTATCAGGGCCTATCAGGGCCTATCAGAACAGCTATATTTAGGCCAATACTCACAGGAGGAGCCACGGACAACCCCGACTATCCAACACCAACCGGAAAGATACGTTCAGGCCAGGCCACCGTCGATCATTCTAGCCCGCTTTCAAACGCGGGGTCCCATACAGAGGCGAAACCCAGCGATCTCCTATCCCCCAGGTCTGCTTCCCGTATGCTTTCGCTTTCTTTACTTCTCACACGTTTTGGCAGCTTTACAGCAGAAATTATTTCAACGTGGCATTTAGCTCGGCGGGTGCGCTGCCCCGGGAGTTTCTCGGACGCGAGTCTGGCGTAACCGAAGCGATATACCTGCTCTGTGAAGGCGCTGATGGTATTAGCGACGAGGCAATTTCACTGACGTGTCCCGAAAGCAGCCGGTGCCCGTGCACCCGCATGGCCCTGGTATGACCGTCGGGCCCTTTCGTGGGCTCCGAGGCTACTGGATCGGCCGCATCTGCTCATTGGAAGAGGATATGAGGGGCAGAGTATCAAACCGATTGGGCCCGTTAGCTCATTCCTTGACAGACGGTCTGATCTATCTGTCCCTGCGCAAACCTCACTAGTTCTTCGCTAAGTCGGAGAGACAGCGTCTAGCTACGGACGAAGTGACTTTGCTCGCGCGGACTGCCATCCTGCTGGATAACCAAATACGCTAGCGACTGTTAGGTTTAGGTTCAAATCAGTGCGACATCTCGGTGGTCTAGAACGAGGAGCAACGGAGCATTAGTCTTAGTATCAGGCAAGTAGATTTCGTTCCCGCTAGCATTCGCTTGGTGTGCGAGCACCATAGCTATTGCGCACTATATGTCGACTGTCACGCCAGTCAGCCATCGACGCTGCTTCTCACCAGGGCACTAATACGCCATACCTTTTTGTTTCGGTTTGGCGTACATTGCTTCTCTGCTCCTCTCTCCTTCACTTCATTATCTTAAGCTGACATGATGGAATGATACGTGAGGTGGCGTCTGCAATCACACGCTCGTCATATTACGATGGACTTGACGCGGGAAAACATGGTAAACGCCACTACCGGTTCGCTCACAACTTGCTTGACTGAATTGCCTTTCGAGACCTGGCCTCTGCAGGCCCGCAGTATGAAACGCGGCAAAAGCAGCCACTCTAATCTTCCATTCCAACAATTGACGGAAATGTGGCCATGCCAAGTCACTCATGCATAAACTATGCTGGCCAGTCCGGCCTCATGAAGCTCTTCGATCACCAATCGTCGTCCAGACATGGAGCATGTCTTCAGATCCAGTCCCTGCTTTGTTATCTGCATGCGTGTGCGTTAGCAATGCTTTGCCTTGCCTTCGAAACTTCCCAATACACATTGTTTGCCTCTTACATTTGAGTATATTGGAATTAGACGCCGCATGCCCGAAGGCTGAAATGTGTCGTTCTCGAAGGTCTATCGTGTTTTCGACTGCTCAAAGGTTGCATGCAGCGTCACTTCAGTGGCGTTAACATCGAGCGTCATGACAGGGGGCATGTTTGCTTGACGGCACTTGATCGCCACTGTCAGTTCCCAATTCATACCGAGTTGGTGCACGATAGAGTTGACGAGATGGACAACTTCAACCCGTGTGGCAAAACACCATGCAAAAGATGCCAGGTTCAACTGACTGCAGCTTCTAGACTGGCCTAACATAAGCAAGCCTAAGAGGTACTCACTTACGATATCAGCGTACACGTACGCCCCTCTGCTACAGCGCGTGAACTGAAATATCTGAAGAATAGCCTACCAACCGCTCCATCCAAAAGTATTCAAATGAGTCCAGTCCTCATACAGACATCACATCAAACAATACGAGAAGATTCTAGCCAGAGAATAATGCATCATAACCAAGCTTCAGTCTTCCACTACGAGGCATAACATACCAGGTCCCGCCAGCCCAGCCAATTAGTATAGTAGCCATGACACCGAAACGTAGCCAACGCAACTCTGCTCCCAAATGAACAGAAGCAATAATTCCATCCTCCCGTATTGAACCCTGTCCAATAACCCCCACAACAAAACCAAACCTATCTTCTTCATACAATATGAACATAGCATGAATCACATGATAGAGAAATGCGTAGATAGGTAACTACCCAAAACAGCCTAGCTTCAAAAACCAAACCGCAACCCAGCGGGAAATACGTACATCCAGACCCGACCCCGCGCTCATTCAGAGGGCGGTCGACAGCGGCGGCGGGAGGGGCCTACCTAATACCGCGAAAACGAGATTTTGTGTCCAGATATATCGATCCATAATATCTTGAATCTCTACCTCTCATACCTCTATCTTCGAAACGAAAATCCAAAAATCGTCTATCTTTAGATTCCTGGATATATCACAATGGCCGAAGTCGCCCAATCGGTTCCTGCTGAATCGCAGGCTAAGCATGTTGTTTACTGTGGAGGTAAGTCGTCTCTTCTTCGTCTCTGCCATCGGTGATTGTAAAGGAAAAGATCTAATAGCTAACTGAATCTTCTACTATGGATTAGTTTGCACATTGCCTCCGGAGGTACGCATACATATACACACCCACATGCACTCGAACCCAAGCTTCCATCTTCGTCTTCGAGGATAAACCACCCCCAACTGCACTATTAAATTTATACCACCCAAAAAGGCGTGTGTGGTATCCAGCTGACATGTAATTTTCAAATCGCTCAGTACTGTGAATTCGGCGGCACGGCCAAGAAATGCGAGGACTGGTTGAAGGAAGCCCATCCGGACATGTACCAGTCGTTATATTCTGAGGGTTCGTCATTTTTCTTCTCCCCCCTTGGCCCACCTCCCGGATCTTTGAGATCAGTCGCTAACTTGCGACCCATTTGTGCCATGTAGAGGCCCTCAACTCCAACCTCGCTACATTGTCGGTATCGGCTCGGGAGCGCGCAGCTAAGGATGCGGCGAAGAAGGAGGCCAAGGCTGCTGCGGCCGAGGCGCGCGATGCTGAGCGGAAGGCGGCGTCCAAGGTACAGATTAAGCGGGTTGAGCGGAACAAGCGGAAACATGTTACCGTTATCACGGGCTTGGATATATATGGGTTGGAGAATAAAAAGATCGCTAAGGACCTGGGCAAGAAGTTTGCCACTGGCTCTTCGATGACTAGGTCTGCTGGTGGAACTGAGGAGATTACCGTGCAGGGCGATGTGAGTGAGGATGTTAAGGAATGGCTGCTCGAAGTGTACGGGAAGGAGATCCCGGAGGCCAATATTGAGCTCATCGAGGATAAGAAGAAGAAGAAGGCGGCTGAAGCGCCCTGAGGTATATTTAATGGGCCGATGAATGCATAATGTACAAAAATACTATGCTTGGGGGACACTATGGGTATCATGACATTATTTATGGTTTACATATTAGATCAACGGAGATACGACAGTCTCGAGGCTGGCCTTGAATGTTGTCCTGAGTCTCGGAAATAGAAAATCCAGCGCGCTCATAGCTCGTCAAATATTGCCAGTGGGTCTGGATCAGTAGTCCTGACGTTGGTTTCATCTCTAGTAGCCGTGGCTACGACGGGAACTGATCCCCCAGAGGGCCGATTATGATGACGAGAAGGGAGATTCCGCAGCGATTGTGGCCATGCTTCCCTCGGGCTATCTGAGACTACTTCATGGCCATTCTCTGGAGGTAGAGCATGCGACGAATTTGTGAGGAACAATGCTTGCGAAGGTAATCCAGAAGAGTCTGGACCCATCATAGTTGGCCAATTTTGGATCGCAATGGCGAGAAGAACTGCGAGCATGCCAGCTACCACCACAGTCCAGAAGATCCGAAGGCGCCGATTAACTCGTGACTGCCATTCTAGTTCTTTCTTGTCCCAACGATCAATTTCACGGCGCATTGCCTCGAGTCGACTGTTAAGCCCCTCAGCCCTTTGTCGCCCCGTCTTCATGCGATCTTCCAATGTCTTAATTCTTTCTAATTGGGGTTGGAACTCTTTCAATTCCCCCATCTGTTTCCGGATTTCCTTATCCAAGCCCGATGTCTCCCGCTGGAAGTCGTCAAAAAGGGCAGAAGTAGAACTGGAAAGCTCCTGGAATGAGGCGATGGTCGAATTTAATGCGGCAATCTTCTCCAGAAGGTTGTAGTACGTATAATCCAGTCTACGGGTGATATCCGTTGCAAGGGTCCCGATCATTGACAGGGCAGACCGTAAATATCTATCATCAAACCAGTCAAAACCATCCCAAATGTGAACAGACTAGAATCGACTTACTCCTCCCCTTGTTTTCTCTTACTCTTTACTTGCTCCAGGTCTTCCATCGAGCGTATCTCTTGACGCCTGATGGGACCAAGCTTGTTGCTCGGGTCAATGACATCAAGTAGACTGCCCTTTCGGCTCCCACTACCCAAAGCTGCGGTGGAATCGGAGCTCCAGCGCGACCAGGTTGTCTCCTGCGTTATGGGTCTAAGCAAACCATCGTCGGCATCGTTATCCTTTTCCTTGCTACCAGACCATGTTGGCAAAAGACCTCGGGAACCAGCGGACGAGGCGAGGTTGTTCATTCTTCGGGGAAACCGAAAGTCGCCGGATTTACTGTGCTTGTGCTTGTGCTTCGAACGGGATTTAGACTTAACGCGATCTGGACGGGGAACGTCGAAGATCAGATGTTGGTGGTGATGCTTCTCTCCAGTCAGACCGGAAGGTTGAGATACTTCGCGACCATGATGATTCTGGCCGAGTTGGAGACTTCCGCTATAGTCGCTGGTGGCACTGGTGGCACTGGAGGGCTGCAAGCTGGGTGGTGGTGCTGGTTTCTGGCTTCCGGCGGCTCCAGAGCCATGGGCCGGTGGGTAAGTCGCGGACAGCTGTTTGGACGGTTGGGAAACCATGGCGGGCAGGAAGGATCCAGGTCAGTGAACCCTCTCCACTTTCCTTAGCACGCCCTGACCCGGATAACACTGCTCAACGCGTTGGTCAACCTGGGCGGTCGGTTTCTGAAGATGTTTACCATCGGTCGTACGACTCGCTAGCAGAGGTGAAACACAACGTGGTTGAACGTGATGCCAAGCGCTGATCCATGCGCTGGCCGATCGAAAGGTATCGGCCCCTGATCCCGCAAAGGATCAGCAGGCCTCGGAATATATACTTCCATTGGGATTTGACTACATCCGAGCATTCTGATGTATAAAAGTACAAGGACAGTCTGTGCTTTTCCTTTGATGTGTAAAGCAATGTGGCTTTCAGTTTCTGTACATTATTGTGATGTGTTGTCATGGATAGGTCAGGAACCATGTAGATAGTTCGGTGTATCCATTGTATAGTATATACTATTCTGAAAGGTTGAATTCTAACTCCACGGTCGCCAGCGAACTCCACTTGTCATGAAACAGTAGCCATCAATCGGCCGTAATTCCCAAACCCGGTAAGAAAGGAAACATGGTGTGAAGGTGAATGATACAGAAAGTTTACGGCGTGGGGGTACATCAGCCACCACTCGAACGAGATGTAGACGGGTTAGTGATCAACAGCAAAGGCGAAATAAAAAGGTAGAAAAAGAAAAGAAGCTGGGAGAATAATGAAGGGAAGAAGGACCAGAGCCGACGGCAATCAAGAGTTCAGCAACTTGTTGCGCTTTTCGCGGCGCTTCAGGCGCTCGACTCGCTTGCGGTGCATTTTCTCGGCCATCTTCTCATAACGTTCCTTCTCCTCCTTAGCGGCTCGACGATCCTTGATTCTTTGAATATGCGCCTAGATGATTGTCAGCAAGATTGACAACCTCTTTTGTAAGACATGTCATAGGCTGAATCCCACCTGTCTCTCTGCCTCCTTTTCTTCCTTCAACTCCTTCTCGTGTTCCTTCACGGCTTCATGGTGCTTGCGTGCTTCCAGTCGCTTAGCGTAGGAGGTCATGCCCGCAGTAGGGCGGAACGGCTTCTTGGTGTCATGCCAGTTTTTTCCTGCGGGTCCGAGAAGCGAAAGGCATTAGCAACAGTTATTTTCGAAGGCCAGGGAAAAAAAAAGTGGGGTAGCTAATTTCATACCATTTTTCCGCATGCCCTTAATGGGGGCAGCAGCTGAAGGTGCGGTAGACATGATCGGACCGAGAGTAGGCAGAGCCAAACGAGCCGATCGACCAAAAGGGGGGTTTGTGTTGGGATGTGAAAGAAGAGAGAAAAGAAAGAGAGATTCCAGACGGGATGATGATGGAATTCTCTTAGCTCTCCGCTGCCCTCTTTTTTTTTCGGGGCCTCCGAGTTTTGAGGAAAAAGTTATCTTAGACCGATCAGATAACCGGATCTCGGCAGAAGTGGTGCGCCGGGCCCCGTCTGGCATGGAATTGAGGGATTTGTCGGCGAGAAGTCTGACGGATCACACTCAACTAGTTGCAGCACTCGCCGCAATCAGCCAACCGCCGCGAGGTCTACCCACCCCACCCATCGCTCATATCCCGATTTCCCCTGCCCCCTTGGCCTTTTGGGCTCGTGTTCCGTTTTACTGGCAAGCGATGTTCGCTCTCTCTTAATTTATCGCGCGTGGTTCGGGCACACCTCCAAGCAAAACCCCTCGTCGAGTCACCACACCGCCCCATCACTCTGAAAGTCTTTAAATACCCTTTAGACCGTTCTCTCCCTCGAACAGCTCGCGAAACTACAATGCTCTCTCGATAAGACTCGTCTATCCTTTTACCCCCCACTGTGTCTCTCTCCTTGCATACACACCCGTCAAAGTCGTGTCGTGTAACCCGAGCTCGACTGCTCATTCACCTTTTCCCTGATGGCGGCCGCCGAACATGCGATAGCAATCAATGATGATATTTCAATGGAGTTACCTACACTTCCGCCCAACCAGGGCCTTGAGGCCTTCAAAGATATCGTGTTTGGGTCGGTAAGTTATCACCGTCGTGCCCAACCCTTGTGGACGTGAACATGATACTGACGTTTGACCCCACTAGGCTGCAGGAATGGCAGGCAAAGTGATCGAGTACCCTTTTGATACAGTCAAAGTGCGGCTCCAATCTCAACCGGATCATCTTCCTCTCAGATATAAAGGCCCCTTGGATTGTTTCCGTCAATCCTTTCAAGCAGATGGCCTACGCGGGCTCTACCGGGGCATTAGCGCTCCCATGGCAGGTGCTGCCATTGAGAACAGCTGCTTGTTCTTCAGCTACCGTCTGATCCAGGATATATTGAAGGCCACTGTCTACTCCCCTGCCGATGACCTCCCTTTCTCGGCACTGGTGTTCAGCGGCGCTGCGTCAGGATCTATTACCTCCCTTGCACTTACCCCGGTTGAGCTCATCAAGTGCAAGATGCAAGTTCCCGTTACGGCGTCTGGCGGAACGCCCCCTGGTCCATTGACTCTGATAGCCACTGTCTTCCGTCAAGACGGTCTCCTTGGCTTTTGGCGCGGACAGTTGGGCACACTTATTCGCGAGACTGGTGGCGGCGCTGCATGGTTCGGTGGCTATGAGGGAGTATCTGCACTGTTCCGCGCATACCGTGCCCCATCTGCAGAGCTCAAGGAAGATGGAACATCCTCTGATTCCATTCCTATCTACCAGAAGATGATTGCAGGTGCCGCAGCAGGCGTCAGCTACAACTTTCTCTTCTATCCTGCCGATACGATCAAATCGCGCATGCAAACAGAGGATGTTACGCGAGGAGCATACAACGGCAAACGACAGACATTCTGGGGAGTTGCAAAAGCCTTGTGGAGACAGCAAGGACTAAGGGCTCTGTACCGAGGCTGTGGCATCACCTGCGCTCGATCTGCCCCCAGCTCCGCCTTCATCTTCACCGTCTATGAGGGACTACGGAATCATTTTGCCTGATTTTCGGCTTCCTTCTACCCCACATTCTCTTTTCTCTTCCAGCTCTTGCCCTACACCTTTCTACTCTCTCACATCCCGGTTTTTATTTTTTATTTTTTTTTCCCTTGCCCCCGACGCTCGTCGGATGCTTCTTGTTTATACACTTTCCGGTTGAGGCGCTTTCGTATGATACCTACAGTCATGTTCCGAGTTAGATTTCAACATCGTCTTTTGAGACCATCAATCTGGTATTGGTGCAAAGAAGAAATAGAGTGTTGATCTATTTACATTTTTTTTTTATATTTGCTGTCCATTATTATCTCATGTTTATGAATCTTATTTATCTTGTTTATCTTCATTTTGTTGGATCTTTTTTTTTTCTACTTTATTGTTGATATAGACGACTGTGCGGGGATCCCGAAAAGGCAATTGGCGATTATTTGAGTGATGACATCATGGATAATATCGGGTGGGAGTCGATACAACCTTGAAACACAGGCAGCCGAGGTTACAGAAAAGCATCTAGATTAGATATAAATTGAAGATTTAATATAGATAATTCTTGGTTATCCGTGTTATCATCATTATCGTGAGTCACACTGAGACAAGTCAATTCTTGCGATAAGAGAGGGGTTGTGGAAACATGAACAACAACCACAACGGGCGTTTCTTCCGGTCCAGATGACCTCTTCCCCGCGCAGTAACTACTACTACTTACTACTACTTACTACTACGTCCATCCGTATATCTATCTACCCGCTACCTGTCAACTTCATTTGACTTTGATTCTTGGGAATAGACCCATCCAGCCATCCAGCTAGACAAGGAGAAAACATGGTTCACGCCGCCGACCATCTCTCTGCCCAAGAGCTCGAAACGCTCTCCACCAAGGCCATCGCCGCCAAGGACACCGCATACTGTAAGTCCACCTGTCTCCTAACCCAAAAGCCGCCATAGCATATCTCAAGAATTAACTAATGCGACACCAACACCAACAGGCCCCTACTCAAAGTTCCGTGTTGGCGCATGCATTCTGACCGAGTCGGGCGAATTCGTGCAAGGCGCCAATGTTGAAAATGCCTCTTATCCCGTTGGAACTTGTGCGGAGCGAGTAGCGTTTGGAAATGCGATTGTAAGCTGTCAACTCTACACCTCTTTCCTTTCTATTTTATCTCCGTGTCTACTTGCTGTACCTTGCACATGTCGAAAATGAACTGAAGAAAATCACTCATGCATTTGCTTACTTCGTCGGACTGCTTTGCAGGTGGCCGGGCATCGCAACTTCAAAGCCATTGCTGTCGCGAGTGACATCAAACCTCCCGCTTCGCCATGCGGCATGTGTAGACAGTTGTACGTACCCTCTCTTTCTCTCTCTAACCCCCCTGGCCCTGGTTTTTCGATACTCGTGCTGTACCCGCCACTAGCTTGCCAAAGAAAAAAAAGAAAGAAAAAGAAAAAAAAAAAGGCAAGCAATTAACTGATTGGCTACCCGGAAAGTTCTATAATTCCCTCATCACAATAATGCGACAACAACAAACCACGCATGCACGTACGTACTTACTTGCTAACTACAATGATTCGTGTCTCTCAGTATGAGTGAATTCACCACCTCCGAATTCCCCATTTTTATGTACGACGGCGAGGGGAATTATACTCTTACTACAATGGGAGAGGTAATATATCTGACCAATCCATCCATTCTGTTCTGAATCAGTGGCTGACAGCTATTTTCACTCGCATTGCAGCTCCTGCCGAACTCGTTCGGCCCGAGTGATTTCACTCATTGAGCATTGAATCATGTCCCCATATTCGATTTGCTTGATTACTCGTTGGTTGCTATTGTGGAGTAAAGCAGGGCGATTGGCATGTGTAAGCGGGTGGGTGATTCTTTCTTTCTTTCAAAGTTGTGTTTGTTGTTGTTGTTGTTGTTGCTGTTGCCTGTTGACGCTGCTGTGCTCGGTGCGTCCGCTGAAAGGCACCGCGGAAAAGGGTGTTTGTTGGTTGGTGGTTGGGTTACCCAGGGTAGTTGGTTCCTGAGAGAGATCGATGATGATTATGATGCTGAGCTACGCTCTCTTTCTGTTAAAATTGAGTATCCAGAATAAACGGAGCTCCTCTTTTCAAGCAAATGTACACGTAGGACAAGGTAATATAATATGCTCATATGAATTTAAGGGGCTATTCAGGCTTCCATCATATACAATCGCCTTCTAATTAGAGAATCGTCGTGAATCAGCGCCTCTCGTATGAGGGGAAGCAGATTCATATTAGACTCTTCTCTGAGGGGTCGATGTCTCAGTTTGTACCATGACATGCGGTCTTTCAAACTCCCTGCACGGCTTTATGGGTAAAGCTGTCTCCGTAGATTATCATGTTATTACTACGTCTAAAATGTTGTGGCTCGAGTTGTTTGGGTAGTTCCCGAACTGGTATGACTTCGTAAACTCCAGAAAATTGCAAGATACCCATTAGCACTGATTCTACTTCACCTCTATGGCACGCACATTATATAGGCGATTAGAATAAAGAAAATAAAGACGGGAGACGCGAAAAACGCGTACATAGAGACACATTTCAATACATGACGTTCTCATAATAAAACATAACCTCATGGGCCCGACACGGTTGACATACAGGTGTCAGGACGAGCCATAGTATTACAGCTCTTCCTCTTCATCCGCTTCGAGATCTTCCACACCAAGAAGCTCATCCTCGTCGTCAACAACACCAGTATAGTCGCCGCGCCTGGCGGCAAATGATCCGCGAGACGCATAAGGCCTTGAGTACCCCCGGTGGCGTCCTAGGCGCACATATCCACTCGCGCTTCGCCAGAGACTTGTAGCTAACAGTGGGAGCGCCTTTATGACGGCCACCGCACCCGCAATTATGGCAACCGGGACGGTGATGAGAAGAGAATCCCGCGAAAGCAGACCCTGGGAGGTACCAACATTCTCTCCGAGCCGAATCTGGCCAAACTTGCCGTCCCACCTAGTATAGCCATAATAACCGACAGCACTTGCTACAGCAATAGGGATGACGATCGCGAAGAAAAGACCAACTCCGCTAATCCCATGCTTCTTCTTGTACTCTTCCTCTCTGTTGGGGCAAGGCTTGGAAACAATATGGTCCATTTCACGTCCACCCTGACACGTTGATTGAGGGAGACGCCGATATCCTGAGGGTTCCCAGTATTGATATGCGTCAGGGTCTTCTCTGCATACAGCCATGGTATCAGGAGGAGCGAGTCCTTGAACAAGAGCACAGCTGCCATCACTCTGAGGCTCGTAGTTGTAGTCACTGCCTCCGAATCAGCAATTAGACCATTTACAGGTAAGAAGTAGCGCTGATGAAAGATAAGGGAGGGCGGTAGATGAAGACTACTTACCATTCAAAGTCAGCCCTCGTGCAGGGACAGTTCTCTCCGATGCTGTGAACATGAGGCTCACGCCAGTCGTTCCAACATTGAGCTGACGGTTTCTTCCGATGATACTGTTCAACATGGCCAAACAGGCAATTGTCGTCCTGGAACGGATGTTTTGGTTCCCAGAGGTAATAATCATGGCTCTCAGCTTTACTTTCGTCCAACTTGCACGAAGAGGAACGGAGTCCACTGAAGTCAACGCTTACTGTCGCGAGCTTATCTCGGTAATCCGATTTCAGCTCTTTGCCCCAGAGAAGAAAGCTCTTGGAAGTGTCGGATGGTACGGTGGAGATATCATCGATCTGCATCTCCACGTCCGAGAAGATAAATTCTAACCACGTGTCACCCTCGTCAAGACTGTAGTAAAGAGCTTTGGTCGGCTTCGACTCAGGCACGATTACAATCAAGGAGCCGGCATCACCAAATTCCCAGATGTACCTGCCCTTCTTGACCGACTTCCATGTGAAGCCAGCATCCCTGGTTATGAACGTATCGGCCTCGTCTTCGCCACCGAGGTGGTCACCAACATTGCCGACTCCGAGCATTAAGCCGATTGCTGAGCTAGACGAGAAAGTGTCCCGCTCATCCCTGCGTTCTGTATAGCCGTGAAGGTGGAGCGAACAGCCAGGAACGCCTTCTCCTTCAACAGAACACCCAAAGTCCTTGCCCTCTGCATCCTTACTTGGGGGCGAAAGCAAGGTCCATTGCCCTCCATCGTTGTGGGTAATCATCGTTCTTAACTTTTTCGGCTCCCCATTTGACAGTTTGTTCACGTTACTGACAACATTTGCAACTGCCACGCCTTCTATGCCTTGCATCTTCTCAAAGTCAACATACCCCCGGAAATTTCGATTCACCGCACCAAGGCTGAGCACATAGGAAGTACCGTTGCTATTACTCTTGATAATCGATCCGTACTCGGCGCCTTCCGAGTTACTTACGGTAACATGCAGGAAAACGGCGTGAGTAGAACTTTCCAGCACGGTATATGCCGTCTGGACAGGGACGTTGACATTGGGAGGAAACTTTGCCTCCGCAAATGTCTTACCATCGACGCTGCTGCTCGCCACCAAAGAGTCGGGCTTTTCTGTATCTCTAGAAGCCACAACAATGAACTCGGACATGGTGGCATAGTTGATGACATCTTTGAAATGGACCTTCGAGTCTGAAAACCAGTTCTCACTGGATATCAGTTGTAGTCGGTTGTTCCTGTTCTCATTCTCAAATTGCTCGCAGAATATGAGGTTCGTGCTATCTTCTCGGCCTTCCCTGCTTTCGAATTCACACTTTTGAACATAGCGTTGCAGCAGCTCCCAATTGTCTCCGCGGTTTTTACTGATGTAGGCGTTGGAGTGACAATCACCAGATCCGCAATCAACGGCCCCTGTCCAGATCAACCAGTCTTGGTACTGAGGATGGAAGGTAAGGGTTGGAAGGCGTTCCTCAGTTGGAGGCGCTGGTGCATCGAAAGGCTTGAATGACTGGCCACGGTCAACAGTCCAGAAGCCTTCAGCACCGTCCGTCAAGAGGAAAGCACCATCACTGTTATATGGGTGAGGAACGATTCTGTTGATTGCTTCTCCTTTCAGTGGCTGCTTCCATGTCTTCCCATGATCATGTGATACATAGAGCGCACGTTCACTGGTGAGCATAACAATTGTCTCGTCGTTACCAGAACTGCTTGACTGGCGTTCTAGGTAATAGTAGGCACTGAATTGCCTTGCGTCGAAGTATTGTTTTTCCACGCTGATTTCGCCAGATGTGGGCACATTGCCTGCATCCTTGCAACGCCACTCAATATCGTGATCCAGATTCTTGCCGCCATCACGGATGCAAGTGTCACCTGGTATCAGTCTCCAACCAGAGGGTCCCATGAAGGTATCATCGGGGTTTTTGCACCCTTCTGGGGGCGTTGGCAGTAAGGCCGGGATACAACTCTTTCCGTCCTCGCTGCCTTTGAACTCGCATTCGAAGTCTTCTGCCGTACATTTGCATGGCTCCATAATCGGCTGAGGATCTTTGAACTCCTCATCCACGAAGCAGTCAGCATTCGCCTTCCTGCGGCGGAAAAATTGTTTGTGACCCATCAAGCAGTCTGGCTCGCCATTTTCGTCTAGTCTAGCTGGCCACTTCTCAAAGTCATCTTCTTCGCATTTCCGCTCATGCAATCCCTTGAAGTCAATGGAATAGACAATGTACCCGCTTTCCTCGTTTTGCTTGCCGACTAGTAGAAACCTTAGGCTTGTGGAGTCGGGTGTCGTAGTGACCATAGTAGGATATATTTTATGTTCAATCTCCACCGATTCCCATTCCTTGCCATGGTCAAGAGAAAAGCTAATCTTGTTGGATTTGCCCTTATCGCTGATTGCCATAACCACGGCTCCTTGGTCGCCGAACTCGTACTTATGCGGCCCGTCAAGAGCATGACGCCAAGTCACACCAGCATCATCTGAAATATAAAGATCGCCGTCGGTGTATTTCTGAAGGTGATCACCTGTATTGCCGATTCCCATGACTAATCCTGGTGCTGGACTGGAAAATACCCGGCCGATATTGGCGAAAGTAGTCACGGAATGTAGATGTAGATTCTTTTCACCAACCTTGAGAGGTTGAAAACTTCGCCCATCGTCGAAACTTATTCTACTGATGACCTTTTTCGCTTGCCCTGATTCAACCTCTTTCGGGTTTTTCACCGTATTGACCAAAACTATGCCTTGAATGCCAGCAATCTTTTCGAAGTCGACGGTTCCTTCCATATCGCGATTGGTGTGTTCGATATTGCGGCTGAAGAATGTGCCGTTCGAATTGGAAGTAAATAGGACGCCCATGTTGCTGGATGGGCTAGTCAGGACGTCTACCTGCAGGCTATAGTTGGTGCTCTCCAACATTGTATACGCGTCCTGCTCTACCCGATGTCCATCGAATTCGGCTCGATGCCAGGTATTCGTATCCGTTGTCACAAACAAGGCAAGCTCTTCTGTTCCCTTGGATTTGACGGCGGCCACGATGAACTTCTTTACAGCGGCTGTGCTAATAACCCCGGAGACAGGCCGGCCCTCGTGTAAGTTCACCTCCGTGCCTTCGATGTTACTGACGAAGTAATCATCCGAGTATACCAAGCGGTTGGCGTGTCCAAAGGGCACCTTCAACCCAGGAACGACGCACAGTGATCTGTCCTTCAACTCCTGGTTCATGTTCAGATCTTCGGCGAAGTTAGGGTGCCCAACTGCCCAGGAGCACCCCGCCGCACTCTCCCGCAACAGCCTAACGGTCTTGAAATCATCAGTCGTGTAGTACGACCTCACAATGCAGAAAAACCCGGCACACTCTTCGCTTTGGTATATTACTTTATTCGAGTCCCAACCATGAAAAACAAGGGGCGGGTGCTGTAAGGCCGGCTGGTCGCCTATATCGAACGATCTCCACGTCTTGGCCTGATCCGTTGTGACCAAGTGATGTCCGTTAAACCCGAGAGCATAAGCCTTATTCTTGTCGAATGGGTGCTGTCGTATGAAAATCACCGGTTGTGCCACACTACCATCCTCGCTGCTAACCACGTCTTCCCAGTCCTCCCCTCCGTTGAAAGACTGTTTGAAATCTC